CCGATTACATTCCAAATTCAAATTAATAATTATATGACTGTAATAGTTAAACTTATATTACACAGCCGTTATATATTATAAAGTACGGCCTTATGAACAAATGCTACACCATATAATGACTTTTTGTTAAATAAGATTCTCTTAACAGTTACCAGCGGATTTTAACTGCACCGGATCTAAAAATTTATATGTTGACAGATCCACTAAGGGAAAAATGAGTTCCAACATTGAGAGCATTCGTCGCCATTTTTGTAGTAAGTTTTCTTATTTTTAACATATTCTGCGGTTCTGTGAAATAACAAACTTTAAACTAAGGACGTGTGCGAGTATGGCTAAGTTGATGCTAAACCAAATGGGAGATTTTTTGGGATTTTTTGCACTGCACACATTTAGCCATTTATCAATACGTGTCGACACATGGCTATATTATCGGCATAACTTAGAATTTCCCTGATTTAGAACGCAACTTAGCCTAACTCGCATACGTCCTAAATATATGATACCATTTTGGCAGCATTTTTGAAAATTTATTACTGAAATAGTGGAATGATATATATATGGATAACTATTAAAAGTTGATTAAAATAAATGTAGCAATAGAAAAAGTACATTTCGAAATAACTGATTAGTTCTCCCATAACACACATAGCATAAAACAATATAATTCACAATTTAAAAACGCCCATAACAAAGAAGTATTACAGGACACCGGTGCATCATAGATAATATTTTATTTTTTTTTGATTTTTTTTGTTTTTCGATCCGCCAAAGTTAAAGCTATTTGACTCTAAAAACTCTATATATAGATTATAAAGTATTTATAATACCGTTGGAAAAATCTATGTTGCGTTACAAACACCTTAACAAAATCAATATACCATATAATCATATTATTTTGAAGAGTGTAGAAGAGATTAAATTAATACAAAAATTAATTTTATTCTCTTGAATTATCATTTCTTATTGACTAAAAGACTCTGCTTTAAAATTTATACTTCTCATACTTCTCTACCGAAACTACCAATGACAGTGCAAAAACATTGTTGTCATTTGGAGCAGAAAAGGTTAGTGATTTTTAATTTGGACTGATAAAAATTTGTTTTGCTTAAACATTTGCAAATCGTATTCAAATGCTTTGATAATCAAACGATGACTTTCAAAAAACAATCTATAATTTTGTTATAAATTTGAAGAGATTTAGTATACTAAATACAGTCCGGTGTGTGTAGTACGAAAGATACTTTAAATTTTTAATTCTACTAAAAAGAGTCAAATACAAATATTTAATTTAAATAAATTTTTCAAATAATATTCAAAACTTTAGTACAAGTAGAGAGAAATATAAGTTAAAGTTAATAAAACTTGATGTTTAAGTTTAGTTGACATCTTCACTTTAACTAAATGTAAAAAGTATAATATATTTTAATAAAATAATTAAATTTAAAAATTTATAAGAGAGTATATAAAAACTGAAAAACCAAATATTTTTCAAATTAAATAAAAATACAAATGAATTTGTTAATACAACTTTCACAGCAAAATTAACAAAATTCTTGAAAAATATGCGAACATAAACGTCAAGTACGGTTTTGGGTCAGTTGGTTAAGGAGCACTGACTTTGAGCTTCAAATTTGACAGGACACGAGTTCGATTCCTGATACTTGCAGTCTCAAAAAAAAAAAAATTATTTATAAATAATAAAATACAAGAATTATTTTCAATACCACTGATGATGGGTATTTGAAAATATTTGAAACAGCTTATGGTCAGCCAAAAATTCAATTAATTAAAATAATATAAAAATGAATTTTTGTTGTTGTAGTTTACTACTGTTCAAAAAACCTCTTTATAAAAATACAATTAAATAGTACAGAAAAAAAAAAAATCGTAATTCATATAATAAATTAACTTTATGGAAAGGTTTTTATGTAATTTCTGTTTTTTTGAGTTAAATAAAAGCCGGCATTATTATCATTGTTATCATTATTTTGATATATGTGAAAGTTTTTAAAAAGTAATTATTTTTTTGCATTGATAAGAGAAGCGTGCCAATTACTTCGCTTTTTTACAGTTTAGTAAAAAAAATTATTTTTGTTATGTATTAACGATAAGAGAATTATTTGTTGTTTTGTTGTCGACGCAACGAAAATGCTAATATCATACAATCTTTTTAATCATTTCTAATTAAAATTTTTTATTTTGATTTAACAGTAGTAAAAAAAACTATTATACTATAGACAAAATATTCTTATCTAGTCTACCGTATAGTATCTACACCTGCGCGAGTGATATTTGTTTATGATTATCACTTGTCTGGCTGACTACTTAAATTGTAGTGCCCGAAATTAAATTATCGTAAATATTTGGTATAACTATTTTAAAATACGTAAATAAATAAACGTGTATGTTATGCAAATAATCAGGTTATTATTAAAAAGTTTTGTTGATTTTTATTGTGAGATTAATAATTATCAAAATTAATTCGGACTATTCTCGCGATTATATTGTTCTGACTAGTTTGGTTGGCTTTTATTCAATACCATTATTACAAATTAATTTATTATTCTTGCTATTCATATAATTAAAATATATAAATTAAAGCCTTAATTTTACCAAGCTCCCGACTACTAAGTACCACATTAAAAAAAAACAAATAAAAAATTCTGAAGAAATTTTTGATCATTTCAATACTCAATACTGAGTTACTTTTTCCACTACGGTAAATGCATGTAAAGCTTTTTCTTTTATTCTCAAAAATTGTAAAATTCTTACATTATTTACATTAACAGAAAACTGTACCTGTCATCTAGCGAGAATTAGTATATGCCATTTTTATATTGATTAGACACAGAGCGGTGAAGTGGTAGACACGCCATCTATTATTGTTATTTTGTATACAAAATTTGCAAATTTTAAGTCCGATATTTACAGAACTAGGCTATATAGACATATAATAAAGTGAAAGGAGTTTTAAAGAGTATTTTATATAAAAAATTTGTGGCATTCTGAAAAACTGCAACGTACCGAAATTCTAAATAAATTTTAGTAATTTCATATGTAAATTATAAATTCTTCACTAGAATTCCCCTTTTGCGTTTTAATGTATTACTATTAAAATAATTTATTTATTTGTATTCATCTCGGAAATTATTTTCGCAGTCTGCGCTAATTACTTTATTGAATAATAAAAATTTTAATTGTTTGTTTAACTTTTTAACAATATTATACACCATTGAACTTTATATATATTTTCTATCTTATCTTATACCTTATATTCTTATAGCTAAAATGGCATCTGCTGAGGCACTGTTCCTGATCACAGCTATAATTGGCTTAATTTATTTTTGGGTCAAACATAATTATAGTTATTGGCAACGTAAAGGTATTCCGTACTTAAAACCGATTCCATTTATTGGTAACACTAAATCAATATTAACGTTGAAAACGAGTATCGGGTTGATTGCGTCAGATGTCTATAGTGATAAAACATTGAGCGATGCGGCCGCTGTAGGAATATACAGTTTCCATAAACCTGGATTAGTTATACGAGATATTGAATTAATAAAATCAATTTTAATCAAGGACTTCAATAAATTTTCAAACCGTACAGTAGCTTGTGATCCACATAATGATCCACTAGGATCGAATAATTTATTTTTCGTTAGAAATCCAGAATGGAAAGATATCAGAACAAAACTATCACCAGTTTTTACAAGTGGTAAAATAAAACAGATGTATCCACTTATGGTTGATGTAAGTATTAAATGCATTGTTCTATATAAAAATACTTATATTGATTTTGAATTTATTTTTCAAAAAGATTGCAACAGAATTGGAAAATCATTTGACATCTTATAAGAAAACCAATAATTCCTTTGTAACGGAAGTGAAGGAGATCTGCGCAAATTTCACTACAGATCTTGTCGCCACCATAGCATTCGGTTTACGTGCCAACAGTCTCAAAAATCCAAATGCCGAATTTCGTCATTATGGAAGAAAAGTATTTCAATTTAATTTGTTTCGCGCATTTCATTTCTTCGTTATAATATATTTACCGAAATTAGTTAGCTTTTTCCGTGTAAAGATATTTTCTACAGAATGTGCAAATTTCTTGCGTAAAACTATTAATTATGTCATATCAGAACGTGAAAGCAGTGGAACCACTCGCAATGATCTTATTGATATTTTGGTATCCTTGAAAAAGGAAGCTCCAGATGCACAAAGCCTATATAGAGCTAACAATAATGAATTCTTAGTGGCTCAAGCTGCTGTATTTTTAACTGCAGGGTTTGAGACATCATCTTCAACAATGTCTTTTGCACTTTATGAATTATCGAAGAAGCCAGAATTACAAAAGCGTTTACGTACAGAAATTTGCAATGCATTCTTGGTTGAAAACGGAAAAATATCTTATGAAAATATTCAAAATCTTCAGTATTTGGGAATGGTTGTAGATGAGATTTTGCGCATGTATCCTGTATTACCATTTTTGGATCGCGAATTTAACAAAGCTAAAGATGAGTCAGATTTTACTCTACAACCATATTACAATTACGCATTACCCAATGGCATGCCAATATACATTCCAATATATGGAATACAACGTGATCCAAAGGTATAAAATAATTTTCCTATATTATAAACTTTTTGATTTTACATAATTTTGATTTTAGTATTGGCCGAACCCAGATGTTTTTGATCCAGAACGGTTTTCACCAGAAAACAAAAAAAGTCATACTCCCATGACATATTTTCCATTTGGAAATGGACCACATAATTGTATA